TTTTTTTTTTTTTTTTTTTTGAGAGAGAGAGAGAAAGCATCCTCTGTGCTGTCAGCACAGAGCCTGACTCAGGGCTCGAACTGGAGAACTGTGAGATGATGATCTGAAATCAAGAGTAGGATTCTCAACCGACTGAGCCGCCCAGGCGCCGCTCCCCCTCCCCCCCCCGGCTTAGATATTTTTATAAATTTTAACCAAGCAACACAGTGCAACAGAGTGCATGCAGAAACAAATACAAGAATTCAATTCTCTCTCATTTAACTTAACACAGACGAGATTTGCAAAAATATAGAAATACCCCTATTCTCATGAAATTGTTTTTGTTTTAGAAAACATTTTGATATTTATTTAAAATGTGCTATATTTATTAATACATAAAGGGATATCATAATTTTTAAGTTAATAAATGTCTCCAATGTTTCCGGTTTTAACTTCAAATGAGGTAAATATTAGTGAATGAAACATATAAACAAAAGTCCCTCAGAGTCCTTTGTCATTTTAGGGATGTCAAGGGTCCTGAGGCCACAAAGCTTGGGAACTACTGTCGTAGAGAAAGAAGTAATCCTTGGGCAGAGGCTCTACTTATCTTTTTGCATTATTTCCATGTTTCAGGTAATATTTCTTTTTAAAAAATTTTTTTGTTTTTACTGTTTTATTTATTTTTGAGAGAGAGAATGCGAGCGGGAGCAGGGGAGGGATAGAGAGAGAGGGGAACAGAAGATCTGAAGCAGGTTCTGCATGGTCAGCAGAGAGCCCGACGCGGAGCTCCAGCTCACAAACCATGAGATCATGACCTGAGCCGATGTCGGATGCTCAACCGACTGAGCTACCCAGGTGCCCCGGTAACATTTCTTAAGTATTTTCTAGAATTTCTGTGGTGCAGGAGAGTAAAGTCTCTGAGGACCCAGGACACTGGGCTCACCCAGCAGGGACCTGTCTCCTGCCCTTGCCACATTTCTCACGGCTGCAGGTGCTTCCTCTGAGACATGGACGCGAGCACCTGCTTGGTCTATGTGTTGGGTGTCCAACGGCTAATAAGATAATTATGGTAAGATACTTTCTAATCCAGAAATTGCTATGTGAATGTAGGCTTTTTTTGTTTTGTTCTGTTTGCAAGCATCTAGAAGGGACATCGGTGGACAAAAGGCTTTTGGCTGAGTGGATGGAGCTAGGGTAAATTTATTCATTAGCAAGGGTCTGTTAATTGCCTACCTTACTCACAGCAGAGCAGCAGCATTCGAGAATCACCAGACACGGCTCTGTCCTGAGGAGTTCGTAATTCTGTGTTAGAAAGTGA